CTTTTACTCTGCAAAATTGATTTTGAAATTTTAAAAATTACCACCGAAGACGTTAAGCTATTCAAATGATCGAGTCTTTGCGTATTACTCTAGCATCCATTTTATGCTATCGCCGAAAGAATTCAACGCTGAAGTACCACTTTATTACCTTAATTTCTAGAACCAAAATATTTTTGAAATTAAATTTAATCAGAATTATTTTTCAGAAATGATCTCGAAAAATATCACAATCGAACTTATTATCAAGACAGTGGTATGCTTGCTAGCTTAAAAAATTTTTGACCATCATCATTATTTCTGATTACTGTTAAGTCACCCTTCAAAAGCTTAGAGCGTTACAATACGTAAGAAAGGGTTTCAAAAAAGTCAATAAATTTTAAAATTGTCATTTTTTCTCTATTATTATTGCTTTCTTCCGAATCCAACTTCTCTGTGGTATTTGCATAGTCTCGAACTTTTACTTTTTTATTTAATTTGAAAATTAATTTTTCAGAACTGATGTCTTAACCTAGTTTTTACATTCAAACATTTCAATTATGTACTTAAATGAAGTTTATATGCTGTTAATCTCATAAATTTTCTCGTTGTGTACGTCATTTTTAAAGTCACTTTTGTATTGAAAATTAAATCATCAATTTTGTTTTTTTTCAGTAAAATTGCAAAAAAAAACGAGTGGTGAGCAAGATTACCGAGCTAAGAATATTGAGAACGATCATAGATAAGTTTTTTACATGGTGTAGGAATGAGAAAATTTGTTTAAAGCTTATAATAAAAATAAATAACAAATTGAGTGAAATTAACTTGAAACAAAACGACACTTGTCGTTTTGAATAATTAAAAAAAGTTTTAATTAGTTCGTACAGTATATTACGACAAAATTAATATTTAGAAATCAAATTCAAGCTCAGAAAAGTAAGAAAGAAGAACTCGCAAGACATGACAAGCTTAACAAATCAACTTCATGCACTCTGGAATTGAAGTCACTTGGCATCCAAACTAATGTTAGTTATTAGTTAGTTAATCCTATGTGTTTCTGTAATTTATAGTACTATTAAATTTATCTTTTATAAGCTTATAACACAATATGAATAGAACAATAGAATTTTCTTAAATTTCAAAGTGATAATGACTGGTAAAATGGTATAACAAACTGCCTCGTAGTTTCCTATCTTTCACAGTACCGACGGACAGTTAACTAGTAGCCAACAAAGCATTCCATTTTTATTGAAGTACACATTGAGTTCTGTTTTTTCTAAGATAGAAAAGTAGTGATAAATTATTGCGACAAACATTTGGGTTGCTTGAATTGAAAAACTGAAATAATGACATTTTATGGCTTTGCTTCATGATTAAAAATGGTATGGTGTGTTAAACGTTTGAAAATCAACAAATCTGGACTTTTGGATTGCCAAAGTTAAAAGAAAATAATTGTTTTTCTCAGACTTTTTGATCTGCTCAAAGTAATCAAATACGTTCGATTTTCATTTCATTCTATAAATTTTCAGAACAGCTGTACATCCATTACAAATCCAATAATTACGTCAAAAGCCACACAGACTTCATACACCATTGATGATGACAATACTAGTAGTGAAAGCGAATCTGAGGAGTCTTTGAAGGTATACGATCTATTTTTGAAAACAATTATCATCCAAATGAATTGTTAAATATTTATTAATATTAATGTCAAGCGTACACAAACAGTGAAAAATATTGACAGTTGCATTACATGCGGTAAAATTTACAAATTATCACCGAATTAAGTTCTGCAATATATAAAGTTGTTCAAGTGAAATTTTTAGTGCAGCAAGCATTATAATTGACCTTTATTGATTAGTTTAACAAAATTCACAAAATGCCACAAATTATACATGTAGTAAAATTCACTGGTAATATCAACAATGTCAGATCAATATGTATATGTACATTCAATCAGTATAGATGAATTTTAAAATTATCTTTCGAATGGGAACAAAGATGAAAAGGTTATAGGGTAATTGGTACGCAAGATGTTTCTCTATTATACACTTTGAGCTCAAAAAGCTTTATTAAGAACATTAACTTCTCTACATATTTTTCAGCTTTTACCTCTTTTCTAACTCACATCTCAAACGCTGTATTAAAGAAAATATCTTTCAGCATCAGGCATGGAAGGACGCTAAATTTTTTGTGACAAGTCATCTTATTGCCCAGTGTCTTGAGCGTCCTCATTAAGCAGAAATATGATGCCTCAAAACCAATTAATTATACTTGCATTTCGTTTAGAATCGCTTAGTTGTAGTGCGATTTATTATTGAATACTGGCAATTCGTTTACTGCGAAAGCAAATACTAATGACAGTTGAAGTGTGAAGATGCATGTTATTACATTGTTTGGGGTGATAGGCTGTCAAGTTTTACCGTTCTTTTACTAAAAATATTTCTGACTTGTCAAAGCTGATTTCAGAAGTGTTTATTCATTTATCATATCTGTTGAGAGTAATAATCGAAATACCACAAGGTTTACTTAAGTCATACTTTATATACTTACAAAAAGATATTAAACAAGATATAGTTTCGATAGTAACTAAAATATATCGCAAAACAGCAAAGTAATCTGTGGGAACTTTGGCTTCTTCAAATATTGTCCCATGCTTACTTGTAGGCCAGCATATCATAATCAGTGTTACAATCACTGCAGCAATAAAAACCACAAATGCTAAAAAACTGAACGACAAAATTTGATTTGGTATTATTAAGTTGAGATAAAAAGGAATGTAAAAAATATAACTTACATTCTTTGTGATCGTGCATATATAATATAAAATAGAGTTGCAGAAATCCACAAGATTATTAAGATGGCAACACCAATACCAATATCAAAAATTGGAATTACCATTACCTGGAAGTTTTCCACTAATTTAATTATGTAAACAGTGCATTTGAGAGTTTAGAATGTCTGTTTTGTAAATAATTTTTGACAAGCATTGATGAGACTATAAGTAAGAAATGGATTTGAAATAAATGAAAATTGAAATGCTCTCGGAATGTTTTTTAGAGCTAAAATATTCTGATCATATATGTATTATATAATTTTAGACAAAATAAGAAAGACTTTATGATAAATGCTTTATACTACATTACTTTTGGATTGGAGAAGGTGACTGCTACTGAATATATTTCTGTTCAAGAGAACATGAGATTTATGCACGGTAAATGATATTTTATTACAAAGTTGCTGTGTTAGAATCTCGAAAAATTTAGATTATCAGCATGCACAGTTCGCTGCGTCATTTCTTCCCAAACTTAAGAAACTTTGAAAAAGCCCATAATAGTTTTATTTTGTATCAGACTACCAAGTTTTACTAATGCATTAAGGTTGTCACATTACAGAATTGAGATCCCAAGACAAATCAAAATAACTTTTACTGGTGAGAGCTAAAGTCAATAGTATTTTGGTGCTATAGAAATGTTAGCTTTTGTTGTTGAAGAAGAGTGAATATAAATACACCAAAAAAAGATTTTACATATGTTTGAAGTGACTTTTAAATTCGAAAAAAGTATTACTAAGTAAAGTTTTGCCTCGCAAGTATTCCTTTAGAAGCATGTAGTTGTTGACATTAATTACCTAATGTTTCCTCAAAATGCTCAGCACTGCAAACCAAAAGGCAGTATATATTTATCCTTAGAAGGATTGATTAGATTAACAACTTGAATTTAATTGACTGAGTTTATATTAATTTGACATAGACATACCTACTGAAATGATTCTTACACCATAGATAATTGTATTTTTTTTTAATGCACACTTTAGGCCACAATTGACATTATTATGGAATATAAAGTTATGATTCATAGATATTTTATCGTAGTATTTCATTATAATCAGTTAATGTGTATTAGTAAAACAAAATTTTGTACATATCATAAATGGATGGGACAGAAAATACTTGGCTTATTTTAAATATTAAATAAAATGTAAGTAGACGCATGCACATAGGATGTTTTACATTAACCCCAAATAGCTTGAAAGTAGTACATTTGAACTGGTGAAGAGCAAAACCATAGCAACCAGAATAATTTACCAAATCAATAAAAGTAATAATTTGAAAAATAAGAGGAAAAATTACTGTGTAAAGTGATTCTGAATGTTTGGACAGAGTAAAATAATAGTAATAATTAATGGTAGAGGAGCAAATTAAATAAAGAATAATTTGTACGCTTTGCTTGTTAGTTGCCGTTGGAAGGACAAACTTTCAAGAAAGTCATAATGAAGTATCAATATGAAGTGTTAATAAGTAAATGCACTGAATGTAAGTTAAATAATATAGGCAGCAAAAAAATAATGATGTAGACATTTTTTGCTAAAATAATAATTTCCACTCATTCAGTTTTGAGATATTTGCAAGGCTATTGAGCTTTAATATACTTACTAACAGATTCAATTTAATTTTTATCCTACTGTGAAGATTAATAAGTAATATAATTCATAGAACTTCAACGCTATCAGTGCTGTGATGCACATATGAAAAAAAAATTTTCATTTGTAGTCAATATGCATTTAGCAATCGCTAAAATAACGTTTGTATACTGTGAAAAAGAAACAGCTCATGATTAAAATTTGTAAGAATAAAAAAAAGTGTAGTAATGAAGGAAAAAGTTACTACAATAAAAGAAGAAGTAAGATGATTGGAAAATTAAATTGGCATAAATTTGAAATCAGGATCTTACAACGATAACCTTCCATACAGTGTCCTAACATTTTATTCGTGATGTAATATGCGTTTAAATTTTCATATTTAAGCTATTGTTTGTTATGTGAGTGATGCGTAGTGGTTGTTTGAGTTATGGGCTATTGAGAGTTGACTGTATAGTAACAATTGATTGTGTTTCATATGGTTAGAAAATGTAGAGTGTAGGAAGATTAGCACTGGTTAGACGTGAAATATGAGGGTGCATTTATATTTATTAATGTGATGTAAATGAGAGAGATTTCAAAATTTCATTCAGTTCAAAGAGTTGATGAGCGAAGAAAAAAATGCCAATTTTTTTGCTGTACATATTCCGTCACCCAAAATTGGACAACCATCAACAGGTGCTGTGTTTGAAACTTTAAAAGAAGCATCAAAGTTCGCCAACTCTCCAGATGGCAAAGCAAAAGGTTAGACGAGCAAGATTAGCTCAGGTTTTCTTTCGCCCTGCAGAAAATTAAATCGAAATTGTAAACTAGTTTTTTTATTTGCTAGGTGCGCGTTTCAAGCGTTTTCATAGTCCAAAGGATGCATTGAATTATGCAAAACATGGTGATTATTTCTACAACAGCCCTAAAGCAGTTCAGAAGCAACATGTATCAGAATCATGTGGCATCTTTCCATCTGTTTCTCGCATTATGCTTAGTCGTTTGAAACGTTCAATTGAGGCAAAAGTATGTCAACATCTTTTAAATTATTAGACCTATCAATTTTATCTATTTGCGTTTTTTTTTATAGCCTTTATCTCTATTTCATGTTTTCCTTATGGTCTAGGATGATGAAACATTCACTAAAATGGTCTCGGAAAATCCTCGTTACTTAATCAACATTAGCAGTGATACACCAACAATTGTAGTTGAGGGTTTTCGTTACAATGCTCTGCATGTAGCTTCCAAATGTGGTAACTTTAATGTGGTTGAATACGTTCTTAATTTCGTCTGCGACATTGAGAAGTTACTTACTTTATATGGTTTGTTAATTAATTGATATCCAGTTTTTTATTATATAGGTGGATTAAGCAAAGCTTTTAAGCCTTTTCAAGAATATTTCGATAATTCTAATGATCACTCTGATAACAGATAATTCTGAGTCACGCTTTTCAAATTGGAAATACTTTAGTTCCAAAGACTTAGTTTTAGAAACATCAGAAGAAAATGTCAGGATGCGTTCAAATATCCTTCTTGATTGTTATCTTAATATGCCGGATAAAGGATGTCATGATACTCCATTACATTTTGCATCCAAATTTGGGCACTATGGTATTGTGCGACTTTTACTAAGTTACAATAAGTGTCATAAAAACGCGATTAACAAGTAAGTTGTATCAATTTTCTGAATTGTTTGTTATGTTTTAAATTACTTATTAAATTTTGGAACATTTCAGTCATCTAATGTACATCTCTACTCTTAATGGCAGCAAAAAATGTAGAATTGAAAAATAAGTAGAGTTTGTCAAAATAAAAAATGTAAATGATGTGTTTTGCTGAATCATTATGAAAGAATTTTAAAATATCATTCGAGATTGTTTTTCTCTCAAAGATTAATAATTTAGATCTGGCTTAACTGCAGCTCAGATTTGTTGCTCAAGATATAGCGGTTTTGATAAAAAAAAGCTCCTTTCCAAGATTTCGGCTCTTTTCACCTCTTTTTTCGTTTCTCTCTATCGCATGACTGACAATTATCATTCACTCACCATCCGACTTTCCAGTACGGTTATCGCAATTATTATTTTTTGGTTCGATTTATTGTTTACCAGTCTTATTGGTAAGATAGTGTATGTTCTACTGCTGTTTCAGCAAGCATTTTTTTAAGGTGAAGTGCCGGTCCTTACACTTGAACCTGGATTACAATCTCAGCAGCATATGTTGGCTTTCGAAACTTGTGAACTTGCTGCATGCGCTGGTGACTTGATTTTTGCATATATGGCATATCAGTTGTTTGTAATCGTTTGTACTAGAGCGTAATTAAACAAATACTTTCGTGCATTTATTATTGATGTTATTCATAATCTAACTAGGACGCAATTACAATGTTGTGGATGTTGAAGTTTTTTTTGCTATAAATCAGTATTTCAGTCGTATTCCTTTGTCCCAATAACAATTCTGAATTGTTTTAGGACCGTTTTCTGTTGAAACTGTGGCAAGAACTTTTTATGAAACATGGAAATTGGAAGAAAGGGAATGTCGAAGGTCAAATCCTAGAAAAGGTGCTGAACGAGTTGGGCGACGTCTTGCTCAGGAGTATAAAGTGACATGGATGGAACGCTGGAATTTTTCCAATAAATTAATTGATTTGAACTCTTTTATTGGTTTGTCTATTTTTTTAATTCTCCTATTATATCTGTATTTTATTTTCTTCCCTTGTTTTGTAGCCGTTGATGCGACAATACTATACAAATGTCGTATTTGCAAGAATCGATTTGTACAAATCGATTCTTGCAAATACGAATATTTTATTTTGATTACAGGACTGGAGGAGCTAAATCGATATCTTGTAAATATTAGGTTGCGTCCTCAACCTTCCTGTCTTTCTCACTTAGTTTTCGACGACGACAGTGATGATAGTAATGAAAATAGTAGAACTCAATACTCAAAAGATTATTCCGGTGTCGTAATCAAAGATAGTAAAGCTGTCAAAGATGATAATGGTGCAGATAATGCCTCAGTTTCATCTTTGACAGAATTAGTTGAAAAGTAAGTTCTCCATCCGTATTTCTAATTTTTGAAATATGCAGTATAGTTCATATGTCACAATTTTGTACTATTTAGTAATCATTCATGCTTTCGTTTTATTCAGGGTTAAATTTAGTAATTAGTACCAAATTTTTTTAATACTTATATTCATAAAATTGAGAAACTAGTATGATTCATCTAGAAATTTTTGGCAGTTCAGAATTTGCTTTTGACAGGACACTGGACACAGGCGGTGATTACGTACGTGGGTACTTGATTATTATTATTTTTTTGTGTTTGCTTGCTTTAGTCCTCGCTTTATCACTTTATACTACTTTAATAACTATAATTCATATATATCAATTATAGGTCATCATAACTTTTATTTCAAGTTTACGAGTTGTTTTTGAAAATAGTTCAAAATTTTGGTTCATTAATCAGTTTCAAAGAATTACATAGTTGTTCGCGTAGTTTCTATTAAAGCGCTTTTTCTTTAATTTGATATCAGTTGTGCATGATTGAGTTATGTCTAAGATTTTGATGACCTTAAAAATTTACCTTTTTTAGTTCTGTAGTAACCTTTTTAGTATGGATATTACTTTTGACGTAATCTTAATTGCATTTATTTCTATACGTAATTTATTATATGCTTCCATTTTTTTCATTTGCTTCTATTACATTTATTACATTTCTAAGATTAACAAGTCAGCTTTTGTATGCATTGTAAATGCTCAGGTTTCTTACATTTTTAAACAAAATGTAATCGGTTTCTAGATTGGCAAATCTGGATTTGAACACATCGACATCCGACGATCTTGATTCAGGTAAATTTGATTGTAAAAATGACTTCATTAATACTCTTTGTTCCCAGTTTTTACCAGCGATTATAGTTTCTGAATTATAGAGCACCAATTGACGACTGATGAAACTGACGCTGATGCTTTTGATTTTGATTATTATACCCCGCCGTCTTCTCCTGATCCAGTTTACATTTATCAGGGAGTTCCATCGAAAGAAGATGAAGAACTTGCACTTGCACTTTCCATGGTTAGTTGGGCAGTAAATTTAAGTAATCGGGAATTACATTCAAAAAAGAGTTACTTTCGAAAGTGTTTTTTATTAATTATTCATCACCGACTGTGTGCACTTGGTGATCTATGTTATATCGCATCGTTGTTACATTTCATTCCCTCGCATTTACTTTTTCTTAACTGATATTTATTTCTATACATAGACGGTTCATTGCGTTTGCTATTTTATCGATGTTTTATGATCAACTTTTCACTGATCGTTGTTTAATGAGTGCTTTGCTATGTTATTTAGATCAAAAATCAATGTATATTTCGAAGTTTCGATTTAAAACGGTTTTGTTAAGGTGAATGAACAGCTTTTGAAGAATTTCGGTGCAGTTACAGAATATTTGCGACATGTGCGTAATGTGCCAGAAACAGAGCGCTCTCGTTGGCCGCATACGGATTCTCCACGAGCAAAGAGACGGAGAGTATAAATTTGAAATTTCACTTCTACAAACTACCAGTATTTACTTCTCTCTGTGCCTTTGTTCATGTAACTTCTATTCTATAGATACATTCCCAAATACCAATTTGTGTCTTATTTGATCTCGTGACCAAGTAGAATTTAATGAAGTTTGTGAAAAGTGAGTATTAATCATTGATTATAAAAGTTTTAGTATTCAAATATTGTATACTTCAGAATATTTCTATCTGGAAGAGATTTTTATTTTTCTGTGTTTGTTAGAGCACAAGTTTGTTGAATAAGTATAGCGTGTAAAAAACAATTACGTGTCCGTTCAGTCACCGGTTTTAACTATCAATTTGGATTAATCATTCCTTCAAAGTTTAATATTAGGGATTTTCTTACTGATAACAACGAATAATAATAATGAAAATTAGAGGTCATCCTCAATTTTGAATGATGAGTGATTTCTAATTTTTATTATTATTATTCGTTTTGAATGCATTGCTGTCATCATTATAGTCATGAAAGAAACCATTCATTTTTCAGTTTTTGAATAAAAACTGAAATGGTTTTGGGGTTCCGACATTTTGTTTTAAAGACACAGCTCGACCATCTTTAATAGATCAAAGAAAATACTTGTATTACTCATGAAGACTATTTGTTTATTAGTAGTTTCTGTTGTTTAAAAATTCAGTAGTTTTCACTTGTAACTGTGAGTATTTTGAGTCATTCTCGGTCTTATTGCTCTAGTCTACATGTATTAAAATGGGTTCATTACTAGGACATGCCATAAATTAGAGTCATTATGTTATCCTTATCAAAAAGCAAATGTTTTCATATTCTAAATTCAATCGATCACATAATGTCATTTTTACTGTGAAGTCATAAAACGTGTAAGTTCAGAGTGTATCTATTACACCAATACAAACTGCGATATAAAAGAGGTATTATTTTGCGTAATAAGCGTTTTTTACTTATTTGATATGTATCACCTTTATTGATAGAAAATATTAAGCCTTCAATTTTTTCAGTTTAAGATGAAACTGATAACATAGCATAATTGCATGGAAATCATAAAAGAAGCAATGAAATTTTATGTCTTTATGATGTATTAATACATTGTGTTGGAAAATTTAATGACTGATGCATTATTGAGTATTGAAAAGATTGTAAGCTGTAATGTATTGGAATTTAATGATTGTATAATATGAAGACTTGAGATATGATGTTGTTTGGTATTTAGCAAGTGGTATGCAATGCAATAAAGTTTTAATTTTCAGAATGCTAATGAAACGTAAGATGGAAAGATGTATAGCATACACTGATGGTACTTGATAAAATAAAAGTTTTTAACGAATATAAATAAGCAAAAGTAGGAAGAAATATGCATATAAGATTTCCTTGTCTTATTAGGTATATCCTATCTTTAGGGAATAACTGCGATAGACTTTACTGATAGATAGCTGGAGGAATAAGAAAAGGAAGGAAGGAAAGAAAGAAGATGGTTATAAATAATGCAGCAGTATAGCAAGTATGATGTTCTAAGCTAAACCAAGCAAGATTAAGCATAAAGCTTTACTGACATTTGCATGTTTTAACATACATCCATTTGCATCGATTACTTTTTGTATACTTTTATGCATAGTTATTATTCATTTAACTAAAAGTATTCCATTAAAGTTTAGTGCAATGTATAGAATTGTGTAGGTAGAAGTAAACATTTTGTATTTAAATTAAATAAAATAGATTGGAGTTTTTTTCGCACTCTCTTTTTTACAACAAATGGAATTGAAAAAAGTTGAGGAAATAACCGTAGCATTTAATTCCAGATTTTATCTATTATTCATTAAAAAATTGCATGAATAGTGTAAGAGACGGTTTGAATAATAAAAGTTTTGCTTTTGACTTCTTGACTGCACAAAATTATTTAGTGTAAAGAATAAATAAATGATAAAATAAAAAAGTAAAGAGTGTAGTGCGAAGCTAAATTTTTCTTGAATGTATGTCTAACTTTGATATCTTTGACTAAAATTATAATGGCAACTAAGCAGAAAGAAATTACTCTCAAAAGACAGTAATATTATGCACAAATTTTGATCATATTCAAATTACGTATGGCTGTAATATATTAGAGTGAAAAGAGAAAATGAAAAAATAATGCCAAGCATTTCATCCATATTTGCTGATATTGGCAGTAGTAGTAATAAAATCTATTTTTGCATTTATTTATCACATTCATTCAAAAATATGCATTTTGTGGCAGTAAAATAATCACACCCTTTCAAGTACGAATTTGTTTCTTGTATATTCTTTTTTTTCACCTATTCCTTTTTTTTCTGTATTTTGTATTCATGCAATATTTACAACGATATTTTGTATTTTTTAAAATTTTATAAAATTTAAATTTGGTCAAGTATTGCTGCCAAGAGGAAACTGTTATAATAATGATAGTACAGATAGATTAATTATTGTAAAAGTAATTTTAATATGGTTAGATTGATGATGTTAGAAAATAATGTATTATTATAGTCATATTCTGTATTATCTTAAACACTAACTGTTTAGATCAAATATTTAATTATAATTCACTTTATTTTATTTATTCATTATATACTTGCATGAATTTTAATTTTGTCTGCCTTCAGCAATGAATGGGAAATTTATCAAATTGCTGAGAGAATTAAGTCGTTAATACTTACTTGTCTGCCAGGCAAATAGCATATTCAATACTACTGAGTGTAGTAAAAGGAATAAATTATCTAAAATTGCAATTTTCGAAGTTTTTTATTTTTATTTTTTTCATTTAACAATTTATTACAGTTAGTGTGTTAGTGTACTGTTTAGTTATTTATTTAATTTTAATGTGATTATTTGCATAGTGAAGGATATATATGCATAAGAAATGCTCACTAACATATGCATGAATTTTTATTTTTACATATTAATTAGTGCAATTTATTTAACCAGTTATTTATCTATCTATCCATTTTGATTTTTTCTCTTATATTTATTAATCAAATAAGTTAACAAATGCTTACCAATATTTTTCTGTCATCCATAATTAGCGACATTAATGACAACAATAGCAACTGCAATTGTATAAACTAAAAATAAAACTTTTTGCATACATAATTGCCATTCCAAAAATAAATAGTCATCATTTTATATCTTTCCAACTTTTTTAACCACATAGTAAACGAATAATGAATACAGTCAATTTCTACGAGCATTTTTAGCATGAAAAATTTGCACTGATTTGTTATTTACTAGTTTTTGAGTATCTTAACTAAATCAAGTGAAACAAGCGCATATGCAGATGTAATCTTTTTTAAACTATCTGCGTCATAGTAAAATTGTAATTACACACACATATAAGTTTAAGGACGTTTGAAACAGACATTGTTAGTAAAGTATATTTATATCTGCATATGGGAATGAAGTATATCTCAAAGTGTCGTCATATTTGAGACTTTTAGACATGTGAACGCAATTTTGCTCGTATTGTCAAGAGTGATTTTTCCTTGTTCGTTTTTCACGTTGTGAATCAATATTTTTTGAGACTCTTATAAAAAATAAAACCTAAAAGTAAAAATGACTTCTAAAATAATTTTAATTTGCTACAAATATATGAAATAATATTTACCTAATAAAGTTGTGTATACTTTTAAAAATTAGAATCTCTATACTTACAATTCATATTTTTGCATTGTATTGTGCACATCTATTGCTGATTCATTAATTAAATAACTCGAAACAAAAGTTTATACTAAATTAGTCTTTGCTGATTGACTTATTCTTTACGATGCGTGCGTTTATTTTTTACTTATTCACTGGTTGCTTGCAAATGCATAAAGTTTGCAGCAAGATTGTTTGGAATTTGCAGATAATGTATTTTTAATTCGCATGAATGCCATTTGCTTGCTTCTATATATTATTTTGTTCCTTCTAAAAGTAAAAAATTTTCATTTGTGCTAAATATTAATATGATTTCGCAGAAAAACTTTATTTACTGATCTAAGCTAAATTTTTACAAACTTGACAATAGCTGATAAGCTTATAAAAAGACTGGCTAAATTTGCTTTCAGTCATATCTAACTAACTAATTGATATTGCAATTTTCTATCCTTCGTTTTTCTTTTTTAAATACTGAGCTATTTCGCTTTGAGGTCATTAAGCTTTGCAAGAGTTAAGCAAAGCTGGATAGATAATTATAGTAGTCACAAACTTACTTACATAGCTTGTCGAGAAAAATTGCTCTTGATTTCTGCACTTGATGTCAAGTTAAAAAGTATTCCTTAAATTTCTTGTCTGCAAACTTTTTACTAGCGTACTTTCAATATTTATTGTGAAGAATGAAATTTTGTTTTCTTTACGTCATTTTTTCTAAAATTAAGTTACAACTTTAAATATTTATGAATGTTTTAAGATTAACGTCATGCTCAGATTACTTTACGTAAAATATTTCAGAGGTTTGTTTTCATATATTGATTGCATGAATGAATAGTTTTACTAATTCATTATCATTATTTTCTATAAATCTTTTACTAATTTTTTCTGTTTCCTTTACTATTTTGATTTTTAATACATTGCTGAGCTAAGATCAGCTCATAAAATTGTTTTTATACATTACTCAATTATATTTCATCTTACATTCATCAAAATTCCTCGTTGAAGTTCATTTTGAGGCAATAGGTGAGCCATAATTAAGATAATTGAGTGACTTATTAAAATTTCAGTATTTGTTATTTTGACTGCAGTTTTTAACTTATAAGCACGTTATTATAATCTAAACGTTCGCCTTTTATTATGGACACTGCTGAAATTTTGTACAATAAAAGCATACCCACCACTGTAAAATCACGCAAGATAACAGCAGAAATAGCATGTTTGTAGAATAAAACAGCAATACATGTAATTGAACTTGCAAAAAATAAGTGAGTATAGTGGATAATATATGAAGTATTTAAAAGAATAAAAGGTGTTTGCATTTTTTTCAAACAATTTATCAAATCAAAATTTGGCAATTTCTGATCTTCTAATAAAATTTACAAAAATAAGATTACAAGAAGTAATGAAATTTAATCGGCTGTAATTTTGCTACTAAAAAGTAAGTAGAAAAAGCTTACAATGAGAAAATGGTTCACATAAATGATGCGTATTTTGATTTCTGTGCATATATTTATTTATAAAACATTGCAGACAAGTAGTTGTAGAAAGCCTGAATAAAAGAAAAATTTTTTAAATTTCTTACTTACAGAAAGAGATCAATTAAAGGTAGAAATCAAATAAATTGTGAATTTGCTAGAATAAGTTATTATTAGGTTAAAGTGGTAATCATTTGTTGGTCTGATTTATATATGTGATTGTGCTTTTAAGGATTTTTTTAAAGAGTAAACTGCTCAGAAGTATATTATAATTTTTGCCGTTTTTATCCATTTTGCATCTCATTTTTTAATATATCAGTCTTTAACGATAATAAAACTTAAAAAATATTTGTAAACAAACAATATTTTTATTAATTTGTAATAATCGCTGTATACTTTTGAAACTTAATAAAGTATTTTTTATCATATATTTTTAACATTTCAGTATTTTTTTACAAATGTTCTTCTAAAAGAAGAAGCATTAGTTGCTGCTATTATTTAATCAAGTAGCAGTTTGAAGCGGTTAATTGGGCATTGAAGGCAGTAAAAGAAGTCAAAGTGAAAAAAAAGAAGAAGAAGCATGGAAAGTATCTCCAGCGGTGTTAATTTTCTCAGACGTCGTTTTAGCTCGCAGGATTTTGAAGAAGAAAACAAAACTGGATCACCTACAATTCTTAATTCACGTACTCAGCAACAACAACAACAATCACAGCAACAGCCTCCTTATGCCCAAAATGGACCTCCGTCAAGCAGTTTCTCGTTAGCTGGTCTTGCTAACAAAGTTTCGAGTGCCATTAGGTATTTTTGAAGTCTAAACTTGATAATCTTATAATGAAATAAATGATTTGCTCAAAAAAAAGTAATTAATGACCATTTCTACCTGAGTGCTACAGTTTTTCATCATTTTTTTCATATGATACTTGTAATAAAATTTTTTTAAATCAAAATAATTATGATTAATATGACTAAGTATGATTATGCTTGCAGTGCTAATTATGAAAGTGTTGATTTTGATAATAAATAGTTAATAATCATAAGTCAAGACAGCAGAATAATTAAAAAGGAATCTCTGTTTATTATGTAAGTTAATAAGAAGGTGAAAATCATTTTAACATGATAATTATGATTTAAAGAAAATACTCTTCCAAAAATTATCCACTAAGCATAAATGAAGATACGATTGACTTAAGCAAATAAACGAAATATTAGTTAAAAAACTGATGAAAATTAGAGTTTCGGCAAAAAAAAAATCCAAATAGTTATAAATTTTTTAGCATAATCAAAATTTGTTCAAATAGTAGTCAGTCAGAATATAATTTCTTTATTTTAGTGCTCCATCATCACCATCAAAACAGTCATTATCAATGTATTCTCAAGTTCAAGGTATTACAAAAAATTTAATGCAAGCAGCTACCAATGCTACATCTCATGTTCTGGGACCACATAAATGTATACTAGTTATTGATGATCAACAAATTGACTGGTAAGTTATTTGTAATTCGAAAGTGATATTTTATTGTTTGCTTGTTTATTATGATTAATGTAGATGATTACAAATGATTTGTAAAACATTTATTCTTAGCTTTCACTTAACCAAGTTTGCAGGGGTAAATATTTCCGACATAATCGTACTGGTTGGCAGTTACGGGTGGAACAGGTAATTCTTTTTATCACCAAAATGTTAGTTAGTAAATTGATACAAGTGGCATGAAAAAATACAGAATATCTAAATAGGATAAAATAATTATTAAGATTTTATGATCGTTAAAACTATCAGTTAACTAATTATCTTGCTCAATACTTAATTAAAAATTATAATGCTTAAACTGTTTGTTTTTTAAGGTTTTTTATGAAATATTTAGTAGATATTCGTACACTGCAAAATTTTTCTAGGATAAAAAGATAGATAATCTTTGTATTTGGATACTTTTAAGCTAAAATTTATAAAATGTTAAAATATTTTATTAAAAAATCTGAAAAAAAAGCAAAAAATTTTGAAATTAGTGATTTTAATTTTAATTTACTAATTTTTGCATTTGACTAGTTGCAGGCTGCATTCTCTGAACTACACGTTTGCTGTCATACGAATAAAAAGTGTACTGTGGAAATTATGGATTATGGAAGGGACAATAGGTATCCAAAATTAAACTCTTCGAATTTTTGAGTATTTAAACAACAAACACCTAAAAAGTTTTTAATAAAAAATTTTTTTTTCTGTGGAATCTCAAGTTCATTATATTGAGATGGTTTCATTTATCTTTCTTGCATTATGTTAAAATCTAAGATAATATACTAACAAAATTACCCAAAAGTTATAGAAATATGCAACCAGATTTTGTACTTATTCGACAGAATGTCAAGAATGAAAAAGGTGACTACACTAATATCGTTACGGCCTTACTGAAAGGAGGTGTACAAACACTGAATAATCCTGAAAGTATTTACATATTCTTGAACAAAAATTGGATGGTATTAATTATATCTTTAAAGTTTTATAATTACTTAATTAAAGCTTAGTAAAGTAGTTTTTGAAATTAAAATAAAATTTATCAGAATGATAATTGAGAACGTTCTTTTTTTACAAGAACGGTAAATTTTTCAACATTTTTATCGGATTTCTTCTTTGCAAAATGGATTTGTGAGCAAATTTATTAAAACAAAAAGGATACATTGAAAGCCGAAATATCTTATATATTTCTTCTCTTCAATTTGTAATAATTTTTAGTCTTCTTTCTGAATTCTCAAATTTGTCACAAAGATATGATTTGAATCTTATGATGTTTCAGTTCCATCAACTGCAACTAATTTGTGAAAATGCTGGACCGAATGCTATGCCCTTGATTGAGCAAACTTACTACCCTTTCTTCGATCATTTTGTAAGATATAGTTCTTAAAAATTCAGTTATTATTTATCTAGTAGTGCACATTTAATTTTAAAAAGAGCATTTTTTTAAAAATATTACTGTAATAAGTTTTGTAGAGTTCACAATCTCGTTTGCCAATGGTAGTACGTGTTGGTCACGGAAGTCATGGTCTTGGTAAGGTATGCAACTTTTTTATTGTATTTTTCTTTTACATTAGTTAATCAGTAATGAAAGTTTACAAATTTCAAACATCATGCAAATAGTTTTGTGCAGACGAAAATCAGTGATGAAAATCAACTGATGGAGGTTGAAAATATGCTACGGTCGATCAAACCAATTGAAGTGGTTACTGAACCATTCATTGAAACAAAATATGATATACATTTACAGGTAGAATAATAATAATTCTATATAGTTTACCTGCAGCATCTCTAAACATTTTTGAGTTTTTAAAGTGAATTTTTAAATTAGATATAATAGAATTATCCATGTTACGAATTCTGCTTCTTAGAGACTTCAGCTGATTTAAACAGTGAAATCGTAAGCTGATTTAAACAGTGAAATCGTAAACTACAATTCTAGAAAATTGGTCCAGAAATAAGAGCTTATATTCGGAAAGGTATATCAAAGGATTGGAAAAGTAATGTTGGTTCAGCAATGTTGGAGAAAATTTCCCCTTCTAATCGGTATAATATTCAAAAATTTGATTTGAAAATATAATTCTTTCTGTTAGTTTCAAAGTTTAGAGCAAAGGTTTGTTGTTAGTTTACTTACCTAGGTGCTGCTGACAGATATTTAAAGTTTTTTTCATAATGAAAACAGTGTTAAGAAGAATTTTTTTTAACGTTCCAAATATCATTTAATCTTGATATTTTGCGTTAAATCAGTTATTATCTGCGAATAACGAAAAAAATTTTTTTTTTTAATTTTGTAAAAAAGTAAATTAAGACAAAAACAGTGGTTGACAACGATATCAGATGCATTTGGTGGTCTTGAAGTATTTGGAATTGATATTTTGGTTGCAAAAGATGGGAGAGAAATTATTCATGATGTAAATGATGTAGTAACTTTGCTTGGTGATACGCAAGAAGACGATCGCAGGACTATTGTTGATCTCATTCAAAATCACATCATTCAATCGTTAGCAATAATTTTCAATTTTTTATACTTTCGAAGTCTATAGCTCTAATTTTTCGTTTCAAATTTGTTTAAAGCTTTCATTATAATAACAATACAATTGTAATTAGAAGTCAACTGACATAGATGGTAATTAGTAATTTGAAGTTTATCTATTAATGTTTCCTAAACTTCGAATATTTAACATAATTTCTTAAGAGCTCAGCGTGTTGTACAACAAATACCTTCTACACGTGTTAATACTGCACCACCAGCTCCGCCACCACGACCTCAATCAACAAACGCTTCACGATCCAGCACTTTGGAGCGAAAAATTTCAAGTATTTTTGTTGTTATCAAAAAAAAGTTTATACTATATGTATTAATTTTTTTAGCGTGATTTTTTTCTAAAAGTTAAACATAGAGATAGTATGATAAGGAAGAGATTTTCACGGGACTTTTTTTCTTTCTCCCTACAGTTTTCGATTATTATCTGCTAGCTATAATAATCGAAAACTTAAGCAATTAATTAAAATATATGTATAATTCCGATGATTTGTTCTTATAAGTATTTCGATTTTTGTAGGAGAAACTGTAGTGAATGGAGGAAGTGATAGATTAGATCTAAAAACCTCAACTGATCAAGTAGCTACAAAATCTCCTCGAATTACAAAACAAATAAGTAAACAAGATAAAGACTTATCAGCAAGTAATCTAAAACAACAGCAGCAACATCAGGATGACACCATGGGTCAATTGAAGCGTACATTTGCTGGTATTTTCGGTGAAGTTCAGTGACTGTCAAATCTTACGCACTAATTTTCTTATCCGCTCTAAAATTTCTTTTTCAAGCATGTTATTCTCTTCCTTTTTGATCTCATGACATTTTAACCTGATTGTGTATTGCTTCTTGACCTATTTATCTATCGCTTTTCTTACCATGTAACCTTATTAAATAATGAATCATTACCTAAAGTTTTCATTGAATCCAACTTTTTGCTATATCTTAAATCGCAGACCAAATACTTTATGTTGAGCTTATATTCACGTGAAAATCATTCTATTTTTAGTGTCAACTGTGTTTGTATGGAATTTTATTATGCATCATATTTTTTATTATCAAATAAGAATATTTTATTCTTCTCGAAAATTTTGGTCTGCAAATTAGTACTAGTCCTTATGTAAACAAACATGGTGCATGCTACTTGCAAAAAAAAAGTAGTCTTGCATTTAGAAGAAAATATTTGGTTCCTATGGTGTCAGAATATAGTATTTATATCTGAAAGGGTCGAAAAGTATAGATGTATTAACAGTTTATATATGAGGTGAAGCTTTCAATTTTCGATAAATGAGTTAAGTATTCTCATTTAAACTTTCAATTTTTACTCACAAGTTAATTTTTAAAAAAGGTCTAAAACGTCAAACTGGTCGAAGTCTGGCTGATTTATTTTATACTGCTTTAAAACTGCTTGTTTATCTTGAGTGAAAGACTAATTAAAACTAAAATTTAGCGTTTGCAATTATAATTATAAGAATTGTGGTGGAATTATGAATAAGATAAAATTAAAAAACAGTTGTATTCAGATAGCAAGTTTAGGGTACCAAAAGAATTGCATTTTGAATACAAATTGCTTAATACAGAATTAAATTTTGCACCGAATGAATAGTAGTAATTGACTTCTGCATTTAATGCATTTCAAATCTTTATCAGATCTCATTTCTTCATCCTTCAATGCTTTTTTTTTCTTTAAATTCCAAATATTTCAGAAAAATTTAATAGTATTTGTTTTTTGCAATTTGTGCTGTTCAAGATAATGAATATTTATAATTAGAGAAGTTTGTTATGCGATAAAAAAGTAAAAAGAATAATACATATGTAACAGTCATACAGAGTTATTCTTAACTATTTGAATTTAATCTTCAATTTACTACTGAATATTTTTATACATTTGATTTTAAGTTTTGAAATTATCGAAAAAGATTAGATAAAAATAATTGTGTACAAAATCTTGCTATCAGTACATGAAACAGTGTAATGAGTACTGTTTAATTCAAAAATATTTCTGGATTACTGTAAGTAGCAGTAAATGGATAATTATAATGACAGTACAATCAATGAAATTGTTGGAATTTGTTGCCAAAAAGTAAAAAATGGCAAAAAAAGTGAAAATTTGGATTCGGAATGATTTAAAATATTTCAATATCTCATGAATTTATTTTCATGAAACATTAATTATTTTACCAGCAAAAGGCGAACTTTGTACTAACGAGATTTTTTTCGAATGTACTATTCTACTGTAACTCTTAATTTTAGGTCATTTGAGTATTTTATACGGTTCAAAGCAAATATCCCAGAATGCGAAAAAGATTTTGGAATTTTAGTCGCAAAAGGAAAGGAAAAATTTGCGCAGTCTATTGCGTAATTGTAAGCGTTATAAGAGTTTTTAAGATGAAAATTAGTGTCATAAAATCATTTTGTAATTAATACACCAAGTATTCTTTAATTTTACAAAAATTGTAGGTCACAAAACGATGCAACATAAATGAAGTAAAATTTATGCATGAAAATTCAATTTTTTACTGTTTCAATAAAATAAAAACGATTTTTTTTAAAGATAAAAAATATTCTTAATTTTATACTTTAATATTCTGATCTTTCCAGTATTTATGCAAGTCAGTATTATCCTTTTAGCAGCTTAATCATTCAGGTTACTAGAAATGGCTTTTCATATACATTGCTACGCAGCTATGAAAAATTAGCAATTTTTGGCAAAAATAAAATAGTTCTGAAACTTTTTTATGCTCTAATCTTTGTTTTTCCAAAATTACTGCTTTAAAATAATCATAATTTTTATTGATGACCCAAAGATCTATACCTGATATAAAATTTTAAAAAAATCATTGTTTATGCAATGCTGTAAATTTATTTTGCCTTATTAAACAATTTCACTAGGGAAAAAAAAATGCTAAAATCAAATTGCATTTTTTTCCCTTCTGATAAATTTCCATCCATTACTGATCATTTTGCATTCAAAAACGTAGGTCTATCATGATTTTTTTTCCTCTTTTTTGCACAAGAAAACATTTCAAAATTTTTAGCATCATTTGTCATAAAATTTTGTCAGTTTCATAAAATTCGCATAAAAATAATCAAAATTCTATAATTCAACTTGCTAAATTAAGTTTTTCTTCAAAGAAACATTTGAACATTTTATGACAATAAATTTTGCAGTTACATTTTACGTATATGAACATTTACTTTCAAAAAAACATTCATTGTCATACTAATAATTGAAAATATGTGTGCATTTGACTAGCAATATTTTTCTGCCCTTGCATAGATTTGCTATACAATGTTATGTTTTGGAAGGCTTCTTTTTGGCTAATCAAAAAAGTAAAAGCCAAAGAATTTTTCTATGAATTGCATTAAAATTTTTGCAAGAAGACAAAAATAAATTTTTCTTGAAGACAAAAATAAATTTAACCATAAAAAATGATAAATTTTGTTATTTTAATGCATTTGGTAGAGTGAATTAAATCTCAAAAGCAAATGCTTTATTTTTATTCAATTTTGTGCAAAAATTATCATGCTTTCTACAAGAGAACGATAACAGATAAAAACCAAAAATTTGATTAAAGATGACATCAAATAAAAAATATAATAAATCTCTTTTTATACTCAATCATTTCAGAATTCTTAGAATAATGCAATGCTGAAAAAACTCTACAAGATTGAATTTCGCTTCCAATTATCTTCATCATAAAATTAGTAAAAGTTTGCTATGAGATTAAAAAGTTTTTTTTGTGAAAAATACCAGAAAACTTTTCAACTGATTCTTAAATTTTGATAAAAACTGAATGTACAGTAAAACTTCATTTCTGCTTAATGCAAGAAACTGTGCAATGTTGTGTTTCAAAAAAGATAAAAGCGATTTTTTAAATATTTGAAAAAAAATTTGAGAGATTTTAAAATTGAAAAGTGAAATTGAAGTATTCCTATTTAAAACTAATTACAACTTTCAGTCATTTAATCATGCACCATACTTTCAACAACTCTTAATCAACTGTTATTAATTGAAAACTATCAACTAATTAGCATTGCATAATCATCAATTTTACAAACTTCTCTAGAAATTAGCTTGAATCTAAAATAGAATTTGCAAATAATAATTCATGAAGCATAAAAAATTGGTTACTGATTGCTAGCAGCAATTCAGTAAATTTTAACATATGTGCAACAGTTGCTTCCTGCAAGGCTGTAAAGCTGAAGATAAATGTTTAAATTGCATTAACAACCTTATTTCTCAATTTTAACGATTATAGAAAATCAGCCATCATCCACTCTATATAATTGCTAATATAAATATTTTTGATTATTATATTCTTCCTCTTTCAATGTTAATTTACAAATTTTAATATACTTTTCTTGATATTATTTTATATTAATTATCACTTCACATTTTTCATACACTTTCATCTTATATACATACATTACAAGTATGTCAATTTTATTTATATTAAAAGTGGACCAATAATGAGCATTTTTTTATTGTAATTACTTATGCAGAAATATACAATATTCTTAGTGATTAATTTTCTTTTAAAAGAAATAATAGTAATACTCGCAGGCAGTTTGTCAATAACATACTATTAATTATTATAATCATTATAATAATTATTATAAGTAGTAGCATATGTAATTGTGTAATAGTATGAATGTTGTTGTGAACAAAAAGATTGTTCCTCGGATCAAATGAATGCCTAACTGGTATTGGTAAAGAAATAATGTATGCAATGAATATAGTTACTTGACTTCTTTTTTTTACATTTTCCAGGAAATCAATAAATCAAAATAAAATAGAAATTTGTGACAAACATAGAAATTAGAAATTAAAATGCTAAAAAATTAATAATTTTAATTACAAAATAAAGTAATATTATCGAGGTTACTTTTTATAAAACATACCGGTTCGTTCTAATATCGAAAATAAGTAATACCAAATTATTGTTCTTATTGTTCTTTCATCAAATAAGTGAATATGTCTGCATTGTACGTATGTTTGTATAAATGACCTTTATTCCCACTGATTTTTTTATTTCTAATATTGTGACCCCATAAATTGAATGAAAGAGATGGTAATTACCATTCTTTCACTTCCACTTTCATTTTCACTTTCACTTTCACTTTCACTCTCACTCTCAGAGGTCATTTATTTTACTTGCTGTACAATGTCTACACTTACTCTTCAATTTTCAAGAATAACATTTTTGGCTAATAACTTTTTAATATTTACTTTTTTTGTCCCCCTTTTATTTGTAAGATATATTATAGTAGATATAAAGCATCACAATTAACATTTTATCAATCGCCAATTTTCCTTAATCATTTCTTTTTTTATGACTGCGTTAATATAATACAGTATTTCTACTGTTAATATAATCCTGTAAATATCGATTTATTTTGTAGAAATATATCTATAACGTTTTTCATTATATGAATTGTAGTGTTTTCTAATTATAATTCGTGAATATAAAAAAAGTTTTAGATAAAAATGATGGCTAAATTTGTATTAATATTTGGATTGATGGTACTATCCAGTGCTGCTCTTAAAGATTTAATGCTAAAAGAAAATAAAACACCGAAGGAAAGTTCTGTTTTGCGTGCGACAACATTTATGAATACATGTGATGAATGTCAAGCTGTAAGATTAATTGATTTTATTATCAGATCAGAATGAATATATCCTCAAAATCTTTAGATTCATATTTGTAAAATATATTCGTATAATTACTTTTTCTTCATTAAACGATTTGTGCAATGAATTTCAGCTTATTATTCGTTTCGCTGAGACAATCAAAAATCCAGAGAAGATGGAAGAACTGAAAGATTTATTACGTATGCTTTGTCATCAGACATTACATGAATATGAATGTCGTGTATTCGTTAATGAATTGGAACATTTCCTTCAAAAATTCGAAAAATATCTGGTTTAGTTTTCATTTATTAATTTTTTTTGCAAAAATTATTTGTTATATTTTAATAATTTTGAATTTTATTCAGAATTATTAAAATATCGTACTAGAAGACATTGCAAAGTTTCATAAAAATTTACAAAAAAAAAATTTTAATTCGTTTGTATGCAATAACTGTAGGTGTTGTAGAAAGATCCAAAAAAAATTTGTGAACATTTACGTCTTTGTTCAAATCGAAAAATCGATCAGTTTCGTAGAATCGATATGATTTATGGTAAAAAGAAAAATGAAAATGTAGAGGTTGGTTTCATTTTTTTATTAAAGAAAAAAAGAAGAAAAGAATTCATCTTATTTCACTTACAAATGATTGATTCTGAAAACAACTGCAATTTGATTCTCATTTGATACATAACTGAATTTCAAGTTCAAGTTCAAGTTCAAGTTCAGGTTCAAGATCATATATATATTTAATCACAATTAAATTGCCGAAATTTATTTCAGCTAATTATTAAGCAGTATAATTACCAGAAATTTTGTATTTTCAGCACGGTACTATACGATTTGTTTTGCATTTCCGAATAATGTGAATAGAAATAGAGGAAAGTGCATTTTTACTTTTGATTAATCAAATTTTTTACAGAGTGATCTAATTTGTGACGAATGTCAACTTGCTGCAGATGAATTAAAACATTCAATTGAGGATGAAAAAGTTCAGCTACGTTTGAAAAAGTTTATCTCTGAGGAAATATGTGTTCGTTTAGGTGAATTGCGAGGCAAAGTATGTAATTGAAATATTTTTCCTATAGTTTGAACTTATTTGTTATTATTTTTTGTATTCTTTTTGTAATTAAAAAAAATTCAAATCCTGTTTTATTTTTTTTTGCAGTGTGATTTACTGCTTGAAGAATTTCTGCCAGAAGTGATTGAAGAACTTGACAAATTATTGAAAAATACAAAAGCTGTAAGTTTTATTCATATTTCGTTTACAATATACTTTAGAAAAAATAAAAATGTGAAAGAAAAGAATACTCTTTGACTGCAAGAATTCATTTTTGCTCATAAAGGATAATTTTTATTAAGGTTAGAATTTTTAAAATAATGCAACATTTGATTGCACTTAAATTTTCAGTTCTGTGCTGACATTGGTCTTTGTAAACGTTCAATAGATCAATATGAAGATACAGAAAATGATGCAATTAATCCTAAAGATGTCAGTATTTTTGCAAACTTTAATTTTTGAGCTAAGGAAATTTTCGTCATAAGTGATGAAAAAGTATTGTTTGAATGGAAATACTACTTGAAGAAGAAACTGATATGTTCAATTCTTTATATACTAATTACTCTAACACATTCTAGATATTGTTTTGTATTTTTTGTGAACACTGACCACTTTATAACTTTATTATAAAATAGTTCTTAAATCTCTCGTAAATGACCTAATTAGTAATTATCAAATTTAAATACTTAGAAGAAATTTCAGTATTTTTCACTTTTTCATTAGAAGTTTGATGCCATGTAAATTCTAATTGTAAATTAATGGTGCTTTGTTATAAAATGATATTAATGTTACTATCAATATGTAAATATCACAGTACCAAAGTTTTTATAATTCTAAATAATAGCTTATTTTCATCTAAAACATCAACATAAAGTCTGCATCGGTAATAATTTATTTTCATTGTGGTTCTTAAAACATGTAGGAAAGTTCATAAAAATGTAACGAGATTCAAGATGACTACACCTTTGTTTATTAATCTCTAATATAACATAAATAAAAGTGAACAACGAATTTTGAATATTTTGAAACGATCAACAACAAATTTGATTGCATCCTAATAATTTTCCAGTAGACACAATCAATAAAATGATCTTATTTGTAAAGTAAAAATGAAACGTGACAGTAAAAGAACCAAACTTGCAATTCAGCTCTTATAGTTACTTTTGTTTTCACTTAAGTTACTGAACCAACATATTTTGCATCTTTTTGCTTAAGCTAATTCATGAATATCGATCTATCAATTATTTTTAGCTATAAAATTGCAGTTTGATTCTTAAAACTATTTGTATTAGATTAAAAAAAAAGAGAAAAGAAAGAAACTTCAAATTAATCTACAAACTCAATAACATCTCGATAAAGTATGGAGCGAAGCGAATGTGATACGAATGCATTGTCATCGAACGATCGCCCTGATGGTCGACGACGATATATCACTAAATGATCACCATCATTGAGATCTGATGAGCTTTGCTTATCGCTTACCCTAAAATAAAGATAGAAGTAGAGTGGTTTTAATCCATTAATAAAGCATACACAAAATATTCTAGTTTTCAAATTATGCTATAATTGATGATGGAAATAATTTATACTATTCATAAAATTGCAAAGAAAACAAGCAAAACACATAATTTGTTTAATATAGCGTAAATTTTCTAGTTTCAAATGCTCGCAGCTTACCAAATTAAGGCTAGTTTATCACGTTCAGGATGATTAACTGATTGAATAAAGTCGAAAATGTGACGACAAAGTAACGATGCACGTGACAGCGTACATTTATAACCTACAACAAAATTAGAAATTCAAACATATATTAAAAATACATATTATATTTCAAATATATATATAACTTTTTTTTTTCAAAATCAGAATTCAATTTTGTACTAACCTTTGGGCGCGATTTCGTCAAATGTGAAACTTTTTGGGCGATGATCGATCAATCCTCGAACGTGAAGCACACTTACAATACGCTCAGCACCAGAAAAAATCATATCTTGCCACTTCATTTCAAGATTCTTAAATAGAAGCCATAATTCTCTTGATTTTTTGAAGAAGTAAGCGAATGCAACCAATACCTTTAGTCGATTCTGGATTCCACAACTCTGTACATGAAAAATAACAAGTTTATTTCATTAAGTACAAACAAAACTATAATGAGTATGCAATATATCCACAAAATATAAAATATATTTTGAAAAACTATATTAAACTAGAAATAGAGAATGATTACTGAGAAGCGTTGAAACGAGCGGCAAATTATTTCAATTGGAATTTTCGGAGGATCTGGCCTGAAATTATTTCATTTGAATTTGCTAAAATCTTATTAAAATTTAATTTTTAAAATACTGAGAAACGCATATTTATATTGTCTCCACTGAACGGCTGAGAATTATGCATACACCAAAGATCCCTGAATAGCGACATTACTGCCATCGATATGGAAAATCGGTTCAGGATGGTCCATAAAACCTTGTAGTTGAGCAAATGCTGAAACTGATTCTTTTGCCAACGGAAAGAATAATTCTGAACTAATATATTCATACGTTCTATTTGTTAAATCATCAAAAAATGCGTAATAAATCAAAATTAGATGAAGAAAAATGCTTAATTCAAAATGAAACCGCAAACTACAAGAGGCATTATAATTAATGGTTTCTTTCTTCTTCATTTCAGGCATATAAATATTGTAACCGCTCTTCAACGTCTACTTAACATACCTTAGGTGCATGTTATAAAAAATAAAAAATTTAAATAAAATGTAATGAAAGATACAAATAGAAAATATTCAAAAAAAAAAAAATGCTCTAACATAAAATTTCCTCTCAGATCTCTAATTACTTTTAGCACTTTTTTTTTACTGCAGTAAAATTTATTTTATTGATAATTTAACAGATTTACTTTTTTGACAATAACTGTGCATACTATTTCTACCACAAGGTTCAGCTAGGTCAACATGCTGACGCAAAAGAACAGTTCTTGCGCCAAACTCACAAACCGATACTTGGCGGTAATCTAAAGTAGATCTGAAAAACAATTCAGAAATAATGAGAGTAAAGATTTTAATTTTTATACTGCAAATAAGAAACTGTAAGTTTTTTTCAGACCTGAGAAGATATCAGATCAGTTACATTCTGCACAAACAAAAAAGTTTTTCAAGTAGAAAAAATATTTAAATTAAAGTAGCAAAAACCATGCATTTATTTCTGATTCAAGTTATAATACAATTAAAACAAATTACCGGCCGGTCAAAATATCCAAAGCTCCTTGAAGATAAGATTTTGCTAAACGAGCATCACCGAAGCATATTTCTTCAATTATAATCAAATTTCCAACTCGCTCAATGTTGAAGCGGTAGAAACGATGCTCATTGTCGACGAATCTAATAATAGTTTTGCAGAACTAGTACATTCATAAGCAGAGCAGTGAGAAGCAGTGAGAATAATCAGCTTTTGTTAAATTTGTTGAGTTGTTAATTGTTGTTAATTTTCTTCTGAATAATGTTTGTTTGGGATTCACATTTCATCAAAAACTAATGTCAAAATTAGTCAAATTCTTTCGCTGATGCTACAATTTCAATATTAAGTCGTGCAAAAAAAACTGAACAAACTTCAATATCGATAAATTTTAGGATATAATAATTTGTGTATGTTTTAATATTTTACCTACAAAGCATAGACAGAAAAGTTTTAGTGGTCATAACATCAAATCTCAAGTGTGGATGTAAATAGCGGGTCAGTGCAATGGGCACTTCCATTGAACTGTTCGCTTCCACTGCGGTTCCTGCTGATCGGCGACGATATTCTAGTTGGCATGTATCGCCTTTAAAGTTTGGATCGTCTTCATCTTCAAATTCAACACTATTCATAAATTAAGATTTTGATTAAAAACTTTGCAACAAAGAGTATTTCAATTAGTGTTATAAATGTAAGGTCAAAAGTATAAAAGATATATTTGTTAAAAATTTTTGCATGCACAAAGTTCAGTTTTAATAAATTTTTAAAAAGTTACAATAATAAAATAAAGCCTAACCTTCAATGATAGGAGCAACACCATTTAATTGAACAATTTTTTTTCCATTATTACCATTTCGTAATAATGAATAATCAAAAAGTGTTTGCACCTTGAAATTTCTAATATTTTCCATAGCAAATCTGTCATGACAATCAAATGGTCTACTGAACCAAGCAAGTGGTTCCCAGCGATTAACGTCGTAAAACATATTGTGACGATCACATGCCGAAAATCTTGCCATTCTTCCCAGATATTCTGAATTTGGATTAAAGTGAGCCATAGGAGCAGCAACAACAATGCAGATGACAGCAGCTGTAATTACAGAAAATATTTTCACTATATTTTACATAATTGACCTTTTTATTCTGATATGTGAATTTTTGAAATTTGAATATCGAACGAACACATACAGTGAAATGAAAATAGCATAGGCGAGAAAGCGCAAGATATATATGTAAATTTTTAAGACACAAAAAACTGTAATAGTATACGCAGACTCTTTTTCTTTTCATTGTTTTTTTGAGGTCGCTAGCCAGTCGGTTCGTTGTTTGGTTGGTTGGCTGGTTGGTTGGCTGGTTGACTGGGTTAATTTTAGGAGTTTACTTTCGCAGAATTTTTTAACTGTTCATGTGTAGAAGTAATTCTTTGTTAGTTTACAACTTGTTAGTGAAAATCTTGATCGCACTAGATATTTTATAAGCTTGTTCAGTCTCTTTTCTTTCAAATTCTGTTTTCATTATTTCCTGTAGTATTCATGAATTCATATTCCCTTGTGGGATATACATCAGTTAAGTGATCAGTCAGTCAGTTCATGAATTCATCC